GCCCCTAGTTCGGACTAGGGCGGCTAATGTAGTCATTCGAACTTGCAAATGAAGCCTGGGATTTAAATATCTCAGGCTTCATTTGCATGTTCCCAGGTGCTGCCATTTTTAAATGCCCGGTTGCTCGAACTACCTACCTGCGGCTACACACAGCACGGGCTAGGTAGTTCGAATTAACACTCTTAATTTGAACTTCTGTTACTCCTCATTGCCGGTGTGGTGTGGTGTGTTAAATGCAGAATGGCTGTGCTTGGAACTTGCTGGGGTAGTTGCAGTTACAACTTTCTTTTTGCATATGCAAGGTCTTTGTTGAACTCAGCCGTTTTGGCTGTGCAGAGGAACTTGAGACACTTACCTGTGCACACTTGAACCCTCCCCACTCCAGCCAGCGGGCGGTCAGTTCTTACTAATGCAGTGTGGCTCCATGACAGTGAGGAGCACCTGCTCTGCAGTCAGAAGAGGTGCAGACTCCTTGGGCTCACAGACACATGCTGCAAAAGTTCTTTACCTCTCTTCCCAGGAGCACTCCAGGCCTGGCAAGCTGAAGCCTTGTCGAGGCTTCTTCTCCTTCATCCACCTTTTCCTCGGTGTTTCGTGCCTCCCCGCCCCCTGCCTGCAGTCCTCCTCTGGTGCAGTGCTCAAAGCCACCCATTTCAGACAAGCAGGCCGGCGTATCAGCCTCCGAGCCCAGGAGAGAGCCATGGCAGAAGGCAGGGGCTGAAACAGACAGCACGCAGAGACTCCACTCTCCGCATCCCAGGCAGTGGGGAAGTCTACAGCAGCATCAGCTACCCAGCGGGGAGGGGATGCCGCAAACGCTGGGAGCAGCATTGCTCTGGCGACCGCCTCCTGCTTTCCCACGGCGCTGTCGCTGGGTATTGACAATACTCGGCGACATGGAAAGTTTCAAACCAATCAACGGGATTTTTCCACACCCCCCCCCAACTAGCCGGGGAGCGGGTTAGCACAAGGGAGCGCTGCGCCTGAGCAGGGTGGCCCATTGACAGAAAGCGATGAACAGCTGCCCACAAAAGCAACGCAGAGGCCAGCCCGGCCTGCCGTGTCTGCCCTGCGCTTTCTGGGGAGGGATTGAAAGGCGCGCCAGCCCCGCTCCGGCCTCACCTTCGTTGCCAGCGCCCATTCACACGGCAATCCGCTTCCAAATCGAATCCGCCGCTCCGGTTCGGCGCGCCGCTGCCCTCTCGCCGGGGTGCTGACTCCGCGCGGCGGCTTCCTGCTTCGCAGGCACCAGCAGGGTGACGGCATCGACTCGGCACAGAGCCGCTCTCCGCCGGCTGCTCCTTAAAGCGGTAGCGGCCCCCGCAGCAGAGCCGCGCTGCGGTGCCTTCGCCACGGGAATGGGGTGTGTGTGTGTGTGGGGGGGTTAAGTGTGTTATGTGAGACCAGTCTCTTCCTTTCTGCTCCTCCGGCTCCCGTTTGTCTAGCGCCTGGCATGTCCCAAGCTCTGGCAGCTCCCCCCAGAGCCTGGCTTAGGAAAGGAGCCATGTACTGGGGGTGGAAAGGCTGAACGGGTTCACCAGTTGCCCAATAAGCCTCAGCTTTACTTGCACGATTAGCAGGGTAAACGGTTAACCCGCAGCTAGAGCAGCCCCCTGCCCATGGCGCATGTGGCGGGCCCTGCCCAGCCTGAGCATCCCCCTGCCCGGAGTGTAGCATCCTCCGTCCAGCCTGGCTGGAGCAGCCCGCAGCATGCCCGGAGCATGGCACACTCAGCCCAGCCAGGCTGGAAAAGGCCCCCTCCTGCAGTGCGGTCCCTGCCCACCCGTGATGGGCTGAGTCCAGCCTGGGCAGCCAGGCCACCGCAGCCTCCACCCACGCGATGCCAGTGAAAGTGGCATTTAACCGGTTAGCTTTTCAAACAGGATTTTCCATCCCTTTGGGCCAAGCAGGTCAAGGCAAACCTCTGGGCTGGTGAAATCTGCCAGGAGGTTTGTGATATCCCCACCCAGCTTTGGCTTTAGGTTCCACCACATGAAATAATCAGTTGTTTGAATGCAGGCGATGAATGAACCAGAGTCCTTATTGTGCCAGTTCTTGGACATGTTCAGAGTACAGAGTCCTTCAGTATTTCGAACCCCTTCGTGCCCCCAAGAAAGAAGACAAACACTGCATCAGCAACATGCAGCTGGCTAATATCTGGAACTCAATAGTAACTGGGTGTGGAATCACATGCCCCTGGGAACCTCCCTCAACATCCAGAGGATCAGAGCACTCCACACACTGGGGAACCCGCTGGGAGACTGGCGTTAAAGCAGTAGCATTCTTTAAGTAACACCCACAGCTTCACAGGCACCTGACTCCGTGGGTGCTCCGGGATTGGAGCACCCACCGAGAAGAATTAGTGACAGCCCAGTATTCCCTTTTGCCCCTCTCGCCTGCTGGTGGCCCCACTTATCTGTTCCTGACCCTCCCTCCCATGGCCTACTCCTCCATGAAACAGCTATTTTGCAGTGTTCAGGGGCTCCGGGAGGAAGAGGGAACAGCGAGGACTGGGTATGCTGGGGGAGGGGGCGAGAAGAGGTAAGGCAGCAGTGGAGCAGAGGTGGGGTGTGGTTTTGGGGGCAGGTGTGGAGTGGGGATGGAGGTCAAGCACCCCCTAGCCAGGGCAGAAAGTGATGCCTATGCACTGGTTAGCTCAGTTCCAGCTATGCTTGATGAGGGAGACATCCGTTTTGAGGGGAGAAGAGACAAGACATCCTGCCTCTTTGGATGTCTTACTTGCCCCATCCTGCTCTGAGGGGCAAAGCCCTTGATGGTTCCAACAGCTCATGAAATCCAGTCAGGACTATTATCCCCCAACCAGATGCCTAGAACCCTGCATGGCTACAACACTTGTATCTATATCTGCATCCATAGCCACCAAAATGAGCTGCGGATATAAAGCAGATACCCGTGTACTTGAAGGGCTCTACTGATGCCTTGGATATCCCTAACTGTCATTTCATTGGCTGCACTGTGTTCTCACTTGCAATGGGCAAATAGAGACAGTCATAGCAGGAACTTGAAAATCATTCTGTCTACCTACCAGTTTTCAGATGGAAACATCACCCAGGTATAGTTAAAGAGTTTGCTGTTGGTCTTACTTACTAGTTACAAAGGCTTCAATCATTTCCTCCCAATACTTTCCTGAGATTTCAGATGGCAAGTGGTAGTTGTCTTATTAACCCCAAACCACAAACAAAGCATAAACAAGACAGAAGATTAATTATGCAGATTGGATTGAGAAGTAAAGAGCAGCAGTGCAGAGCACATTTCGTGGGTGAATTTCACTGGGAGCTTGGATGGCTCTCTACATGCTGATCTGCATTCTTGAGCTATCTTCTGTTCCCTCATCATTAATTAATTTTATCTCAACACAGCTGCAGCTTTTCTCCCCATCAGTTGAGAAAGGGGAAGAGAAGATACAAAAGGGAACCGGCCTTATGCTGAAATGATGGATCTGTAACATAAATGCATAAACATCCCTGGAAGATGCATGTTGTGCAGCAGATGTTTGGGCACAAAGCCCAGAAGCCAGCCTGCAGCAAAGTGGACACGTAGCTTCCACTAGGCACCTTTCAAGCAAGTACACCCCATGACAACAGGCCTCCTGGCTTGCCAGCTGTTCCCATACCTGCTCCTTCTCCCAGAAGGTGAACATCCAGCAATAGCCCACGTTCAGGAGCAGTCTTGTAACTTCCACTGCAGGCCTAGAGAACAGTATCACTGAGGGACATCTGCACCACTCACACTAACTCTCCCTACGTCATGTATTTATTTTATAGAGCCTCTCGGCCATGGGATATAGTCACAGTGTCTCTGCTTGTTGCTTGGCCTGAATAGTCCTGAGCGGATTAATCCTCACTGAGGACGCCCCTTGCTGGCTGCTTGCATTTGAAGGTGCATTAGTGTTTGTATTACAAGAGCTCCTAGCCCCATTGTGCTCCTTGTTGTGTGTAAACAGCCCCAAAGAGCTCTGGGTGCTGGAAGCCCTACACCCAACCCTGGAAGGCAGAACGGAAGCGCCCCCCTCCTTTCTCTCATTAACACTCTGGTTTGGCAGGATTTACGGTGCCTCACAGGGCTAACTGAGGTGGCCCCCGCCTGTGGTATGGCTACAGCAGCTGGAGCCCTTGCTCTCTGGCTGGTTCTGTCCAACATAGAAAACCTGTACATGCCACAGCTGAGCTACTAGTCCCTCCTCTCCAGCCAGGGCTCTGTGCTTCTCACGGGTGCCAGACGGGGTGCAGGTTGCTTGGAAAAGGTCAGGAAGAGACACCACCACACTTCTCCAGAAATGGGAGAAATACACTTGGAGGATCCCTGTATCCACAGGCCTCAGAAATGGGAAGGTTTTGCCACAATCTAGCATTATGCCAACCAGTGTCACCCTACTAGTATCATTGTTACGGGGGAGATAAACCAAGTACCCCCAGCAGCTGCCCCACTCATTGCCAGGGAGAGTAGAACTGCTGCTTGAATCACCTTGGCGGCCGACAGGAGCGGTGTTGGCTAGTCTACCCAGCCGAAAGGGAACCGGCCTAGAGGAATGGTCTCCGGCCCCCACCCACTTCCATCATCAGGGTTTGTCTCAGCCCCGTAGGAGAAATAAAATCAACTAGAATGTGAGTGCAAACAAACAGGGTATTTATTCGACAGTTCCAAAGTAAATGAGAGTTAAACCAAAGGATTAACAACCAAGGACCCCCACAACTAAAGGTAAGTAGCAAGAAGTGTGATGTCTGACTGGGACACAGGTGAGTTCTCCCCCCTTCCCCCACCTAGGACAGGACCCTGTAAGGAAATGTAGGATTAGGGAATCGCTACCATGTCCTGCAGCTTGAGGACCCTCCCGGCAGCAAGACAGCTCCGGATCCCGTCTCCAGATGGTATCACCACTAAGGGGTCATCCAGCAAGATTAGCTCTTCTCCGGCAATGGTTGGCTCGCTCCCTCTCCCTATGTCATCGTGGGTGTATGCGTGTCCTCAGAGAGGAGGGATGGCAGCTGGTAACGCACCCCTTGTGTGAGGGTAACTCACCTCCCACGACCAGACCTATACGCGTGGTGCTGGTATGTACCTCTAAGCAGCTCCAAACTCTGCCACTCAGAAGGGCAGCCCCTTAGAACAGCTGGGCAGCCTTTAAACAACCTGTCGTTTCTGGGCAGAACCCAGGTCAGGGGTCCGTCTATAGTTCCCCACCCAAACATCCAAAGAGCGGGAAAGTGCCTTCAGGGGAGGAAGGAGAAGGCTGCCAAGATGGAGTCCATGTTGTTGTCTGGACTTTCCAAGGTGGTGTACCAGAAATTGTTAAGCACCAGAATCTCTCCTCCCCCCACAGCGGCAAGCTACAAATCACACAGGAGTTCGGTGCCACAGCCTGCTTTCCCTCAGGGCAGAGCACTGTGGATGGGACATACCACCCTCTGAGGGCTCACCGGTGACACAGCAGTCCGTCATTCTGGAACAGGGAGCAAGTCTGCTCCATGACTCTGTCCCATGAACTGGGGAAAGCCCCATAAAGCGCCCGGCTTGAGGGAAGCCAGGTGATTGTGATAGAACACTCGCCGGGCAGGCGTGCTCAGCAGTTCTAGAACAGCTGCTCAAAGGCCCCCGTTGGGGCCACAGCGCGGAGGTGGCAGTTGGAGGTCAGAGATGGCAGGTCTCAGCCGGAGGATGCTGAAGGCGGCCATGGAGCACTATCTCTCTGCTGGCTCCCAGACTGCAGATGAGGTGTTGAGGCCAGAGGAGAAGCTGGGAGAGGTGAGTGCCAGGCACACAGAGAGGGGTGAGGCCAGGTGGAGAAGCTGGCCTGGAGGCATAAGGCTTTCCTGTGGAACTGTCTGTAGGTGAGGCAAGGGGGCATGGGAGCGGGCACTGTGAGGTGCAGGTGGGCAGTGCAGGAGGCTGGTATGGAGTATGGTCTCTCTGCCAGTTCCTAGACCATAGCTGAGCTAGCAAGGGGGTGGGGGAGAAGAGATGGGGGTGTAGATTTTGGCTTTCAGGGCTGGGGCTGGGAAAGGAGGCGGTGAATAGGAGTCCAGGGGAGGGAAAAGTGATTAACGAACTTCCCTCCCCCCTCCCACGCCCCACTGGTTCCTGAATGTAATGATAAACATCTTTACAAATGTGCCTTTGCTTCATGGGTTGCTCTGAGTTTACTCTTGGTGTCGCCTGTTGTTACAGATCAGATTTTAAATAAAGACTTGGGGGTAGATACATGGCTGGTCTCACTTAATCACACTCACCCACAGCTGCAAGGTACTTCTACCCACCAAGCTCAGGCGGCTTCATATGAGGCCTTTAGCCACTTCAGTTCCTGATGTGACGGTAGTCAGCACACAGATGCCTCAGTGCCCACAACTGCACCTGCAAATTCTGTGCTCAGAAAGGATATGTCTACACTACATGGCTCCGTTGACGGAGCCGTGTAGATTTGTTTATTGGGCAAAGGGAAATGAAGCGGCGATTTAAATAATTGCCGCTTCATTTAAATTTACATGGCTGCCGCCCTGAGCCGACAAACAGCTGATCAGCTGTTTGTCGGCTCAGCACGCTAGTCTGGACGCTCCCCTGCCAACATCAAAGCCCTTTGTCGACCGCCCAGGTAAACCTCATCCCACGAGGAATAACGGGGCGGTTGACAAAGGGCTTTGATGTTGTCAGGGGAGTGTCCAGACTAGGGCGCTGAGCCAACAAACAGCTGATCAGCTGTTTGTTGGCTCAGCATGGCAGCCATGTAAATTTAAATGAAGCGGCGATTATTTAAATCGCCGCTTCATTTCCCCTTGCCTACAACCCTCATTACATGGCTCTGTCGATGGAGCCATGTAGTCTAGACACAGCCAAAGAGAGAGCCGCCTTTAAATCTCTCACCCTTCGAAAGCTGGGCCCTTTGTTCCGTGCTAGAAACTCTTGTTGGAGTTGTGACCGGGTGGTCTGTGATCACTGCAATGATTTACTGATGTGTCAGCCTGGAATGCCATGACTGTCTTCTCTTTCTAGATCAGTCACAGACAACACCTACTGGGCATAGGACCTACCCAGCTCTTGGACATGCCACTTGGTGCCAAGCTCCCCTTGCTCCCAGGCTCCAATACGTTGTTCTACCGCACAAATCTGGGTGAAAAGGTAAAACATTTCATATGGAAAGGGAAAAACAATCTCAGTTTCCATACCCCTCACTCCTGCCACTACACGTGCAGGGTATGAACAGCATAGAGCTCTGTATGTCAACAGTGTGCTACACCATGTGAAGGACAGCACATAAAAACATGGGTGGCCAATGCATCATTCAGTTATCCTAGCAAAATAGAGTTTCTCAAGCAACATAGAATAGCCAAATACATAGATTTGTTGTGGCTTTAACAGACAGAATGTCCTGGTATTTCTGAGCCAAGTTATTGCTCTTGAGTACTTATTCAGAAGGAAAAGATGCTGAAAGTAATCAGTGGAAACCATCAAATCCATGTCACTGGAAAAAGGAAGGAATTCCAAGTCGTAGTGCTCCCTGAGACCCAAAAGGCAGCAGGGCTTAGACCCAACTCAAGAGTTTTTATCATTATGTAGCCACTTAGAAGCCCTGGTTAGAAGGAAGTCCTGTGATCATGCCCTTTGTAGAGCAGGGCTCTCCAACCTTTTTAAGGATGAGATCACTTTCTGAATGTAAGTGCAATCCAGGATCCACCTCAAACCCAAACACCCTTGTCCCACCTCCTTCCCGCCCCTTCTCCAAGGCCCCGCCCCTGCTCACTCCATCCTCCCTCCCTCCCCCATCCTCACTTTTCTCAGGCTGGGGGCAGAGGGTTGGGGTGTGAGAGGATGCAGACACTGATCTTGGGCTAAAGGGTGTGGAGTGTGGGAGGGGTTCTGAGCTGAGCCTGGGGCAGGGAGTTAAGGTGCAGGAGGGGGTTCAGGGTGCAGGCTCTGGGAAGGAGTTTGGGTGCAGGGGGACTCATGGCTAGAGCAGGGATGCAGAAGGGATTCAGGACTGGGGCCAGGGTTCGGAATGCAGGCTCCAGCTGGGTGCTGCTTACCACAGGTGTCTCCTGGGTGGTGGTGCAGGAGACTAAGGCAGGCTCACCCCTCCCCCGGTCCTGTACCACCCCCAAAAGCAGCCAGCAAACTCTTTCCATCCCTGCCCCCCCTGCTCTGTGGCGATGGGGTACAAGGTGGGGGAGGGGCACCCTGACATCAGCACTTCCCCCTCTTCTTCCCATGCCCTGCACAACACGCAGGAGGATCCCGGGGGGCGGGGAGGCGGAATCACCTCCAAGGTAGAGGGCAGGAGCAGCACGGCACTGCTGAGAGAAGCAGATCAAGTGCAGGCCCTGGATAGCCTCCCGGCCAAACCTGTCAGGATCACCCATCAAAGGTTCCAAGATCTACCAGTAGATCCTGATCTACTGGTCGGTGACCAGTGCTGTAGAGGAAGGCTACTGGCCATGCATTATGGACAGTGCCAGTGCTTTGGCTGGAATTTTCCACCGAGCCTAAGGAATTTGGATACTTAAGGATCCTTTGAAAACCCCAGCCTACATGCCTACAGGGATACATCTCAGTTACAGGATATACCCCAAATCTGTAATAAGGGGTCAGCACTACCAATTCTGTGTCCTTTCTTCTAGGCCAGCGTCAGTGTTCACGGAAAGCTCAGACGTAGCGGTCTCTGTGCACAGCCTGGGAAGACATGTGTTCTTCTTTCTGGAACCACTATCCATGCATCAGTGGTTGGAGTGCTGAAATCTGTAGGGCTCATGAGAAGCTAACCAAGGTGCCGGCTTGTTCCTCAGCAGGCATCTGAAATAAGGAGACACCCTGGTAGACATTGCTTAGCTCAGAGTTTTCCCACCCCTGGATTTGATTCAGAATAGCATAAGTCTGGTGAAGAGGGTTTGTCAGCTTGCTACAAATGTTAGCTCTTTTGATCTCAACAGTATTCACAATACTGAATGGTCCTACTACACAGGAATCAACCTGAGTGGAGCCAAGCTACGCAGGGACTCCCACATTTCATGCAGGTGGAAAAAGGTCTTGGAGCACCTCTCTGCCTTGGTGGCAGTCAAGAGCAATCTTCAGCTGGGCCTTGACTTCCCACTTCCACTAGCAGATGTTGGGATCAGCACAGATACATCCACTCTCGGATGCAGAGACCACACAGATGGGCTCCATACCAGCAACAGTAACTACACACACACACACACACACACACATGCCCTAGATAGGAGAACACGCCTGTCCATGTTGACTAAGCACTTTGGGAGACTTGGTGTACCAAAAGGTGGCTCTGGTCCTTGTCAGATCTCCTCTCTTCTCACTGTTTTCTTTTTCCTCCTACTGGTTTTCAGTCCCAGCTTCTTCCCCAGTCAGTCTCAGTTCCTCTACTCCCCACCACCACATCTGAGGTCAGTGTCCAACACCCTCTCTCAGCCAACCAGCTCCAAATTCCTCTGTGTTTCCCCTACTGTCTCCCAGGACAAGTCTTCTTGTGCAACCAACCTCAGTTTTCACTTTATATATTGTTTTCAAGCAATGTATTGAAAACTGAAGAAAAAGAACATCAAAAGAGTTTTGCCCGTAGTGTTTTTTTTGGAATGGCTACAGAATATTATATTAACTCAAAAGAGTTGAATAAAATATTAGGGTCTGATTTTCAAACCAGGTTTTCATTTTTGCAGGTCTGGGCTTTCACCTACCACGAACAGCATCCACAATTTTGCCACTGCAGTGAAAGACATGAAGAATTTCCAGAGAAAGAGACCTGAACAGTTTGCAAATGCACCATTGGGCACCATTCATTACTGGGGCAAAATTGTGTCTATAAGAGTAAATTTTGTAAATGTCAGTAGAGCAACTGAAATTCTCTATAAATATCCAAAATCATTAGTCATTGCTGTTCCACAGCCACTAGAGCAGTCATCCAAAAAGCCAACAAATTTAAAATTAAGACAGGTTATTCTCACATTAAGAATACCACAAATAAAGCATTCTTTTGCCTGAGTAAAAATCATACCTAGTGCAACTGCTGAAAGCAGAAACTAATCCAACCCCTGATGTTTGAAAGTGTTGACTGGTATGTTTAGGAATGGGGAAACTTCTTTATCTCTTTTTCAGATAGGTGTTACTCTGTTAATATTTTTGAATATGTATTTTCACAGCTTTATCAACCACCTAGTGGCTTTGACCTTGGTGATCCTTACTGTCACTTAATGACTACAAAATACAGAAGTCTACATGATCCACATTTGCGTTCCTATTATAAGCGAAAAAATAATCTACGGCGATTAAAGAAAGGAGGTTATGTCACCAACGACAATAAAGTAGGTTAAATAACAAACGTGATGAGAGCTTCAGAGGGGTAGCTGAGTTAGTTTGTAACTGGAAAAATTTAAAAAACAACTAATAGTCTAGCAGCGCCTTAAAGACTAACAAAACATGTAGATGGTATCATGAGCTTTCATGGGCACAGCTCACTTCTTCAGATGAATGTTTATGTAAATTGCATTTTCAAAGCACTCGGCGCAGGTCTAATTCTGTTCCCATTGAAGGTAAGGGCAGCTCTCCTTTGGATTTTCATGGAAACAGAGTGAGACCAACACTCACCACTTTTGAAATTCCCATCCCTATTATTTTAGAGTTTATCTTGCCTTCCTAGAAAACATATGTAGCTAGCATCAGTGGTGGGTAAATGGTCAGACAGGCAATACAGAGCCACCGTGCTGCAAGGTGGGAGTATGTTACTTGGAGAAGAAGCATCATGTCCCCTTAGCCATCAGTGGTGGCTAACACACTAGCCACCTGGGAGTTGGAAATGCTTCATTTTCTGCTGGGGTGCGGTGTGTGGGTCAGGGTGCATCTTTCCTATTGCTGTCTATAGACAGATTCTGTCTGGCAGTTTCAGCAGAGGGGCTCTGTCACAGGTTCATCTGAACCAGTGGAGCATTGCAGGAAACAAGTTGCTCCTTTTAATTTTCCAGCTCAAGAGTCCACTTGGGTTCTAAAGACTGGTTTGCCTCAGGGAATTTCACTGGCTTGGTCAAGAAGTGTAGTCAAAGGTAGGCCCCTCACCAGGCCAAGCTTTTAGTTTAAGATGAGGAAGTCTTTCCTCCTCTGTCCCAGCTTCACGCAAAACTACCCCTGGAAGAAGCAGCCTGCCCTTTTTACCCCAATTGGCTTTTTCCTTCTCTGGCCCTTCTGGCCACTGGAGGACCAGTTCTCACTGGTTCTACAAACACAAGATCCTGGGTGGCCTTTCTAGGCCACCTCTTTAACTCACCCCTCTTTTCCCCTAGAAGAACATTTTCCAGCATGAGTCTAAAGGCTCAAACTCCTGGTAGTACCCTCCACAGATACAAAATTTGTATCTGCATCCATAGCTGCAGAAATGAGCTGAGGCGATCCGCATCCACATCTGCAGATATAAAGTGGATATCTGTGGATTCGTGGGGCTCTAATCAGAGGCTCCCTATTCCTTCTCCCCGCCTGCATGCACGTGTGCCACAGGGCATGTCTACACAGCAAGGCTAAACTCGAAATAAGCTACATAACTTGAGCTATGCTAATTGTGTAGCTTAAGTGGAAATAGCTTATTTCGACTTTTGCTGCTGTCTATATAGCAGTTATTTCGAGACAGAGCATTCTTCCCCCAACCTCCCTTACTCCTTGTACAAGAGGGTTACAGGAGTTGGAGTAAGCAGTCCTTCAGATCGACATTATGTCGAAATAACTGCTTGTGTGTAGATGCGGACTATGTTATTTTGGAGTAACTGACATTATTCCGAGATAGCACTGCTGTGTAGACATAGCCACAGAGGGTAGGACTGAGCTCACAAAGTCTTGGTGGAGCCTTGCCATACAATACTGTGTGCTGTTTTCCTTCTTGGTGTGCCTAAAGTGAAAATACAAGACATCATTTGCACTGGCTCACACATTCATTTGCAATCAATGGTACTGAAGCATGTGTCTAAAGTTAACCACGTGTGCTTTGCTGAATCAGGCCTAGATTCTGAGTTTCCGATCATACTTATAGGGAAGTGCAAGAAAAATTGTTAATATCACAGTGATCGAGTTGCAGAGGTAAATCTGAGAGTTTTTAAGGCTGACCCCTAGAGGTAAAAAATCTGACATATTATTTAGAAGACTAAGCAATAATTAATTATTTCCAGTAAAACCCATCCAACACTATCACTAAGAGCAATGTAGAGTTATAGGGTCATGATCAGTCCATTGAAGTCAATGGAGTTGCTCTCTCTTGCTCCAGACTTGAATTTAATTCTTAAAAAGTACAGGGACAAATGAAAAGCAATGTACAATTAGAGCAGTGTAAAGGGGTTTTAGTGTGACAGAAGTCAGACCTAAGAAAGCAAAAGGGGAAGGGTTTAGGTAAAAGACCCACCAGCCAGTGCTCAGTATTATGGACAGACAATTCACAGAGCTCATATGGATATTGATTGTTGCCCAACTTGGACATGACATAGTTCTTGTACCTTTCCCTGTTGATATATGGAAGTCGTGTTCACATTCCAAAGGCCAAGAGGCCTAAAGCAAACTTGACATTTTGAAGGAAAGATGATGTAACCACCTGCAATTTTATCTTTTAAACAAAGCTACACAAAAGATTTGTTTTTAGAATGAGAATTATTTACAGGCTTTCTTTTCCCTTTGAAATAAGAGAATACCATAAATAAAATCCCTTTTCTCTGTGCAGTTTTGTGACCAGTTCTATAGCCTCCTTTTTTAAAGGCAGCAGACTTTATCTTATAATAGTCTGGTGAGAAGGACCCATGAATGTGACAACAGCCGGAGAAGGAGATGCTATGTCAGATAGCCTAAGAGCTTTTCTTTTTAAACTCTATAAAATATAAAGCTGTAGCAAAAGCTCTAAGCCTAATCCTGTACAAATTAATTCTATGACCACACCATCAAGCAGAAAGAGGGGAAATTAAGGAAAATCAGAGAAAGCTTTTACACTTGCTTTATAAGGCTGGATCCAAAAGACCTGCATGCATGATCTCTCAGCGGTGACTATTTTGAAATAAGTCTGTGGCTTGCATAGCAGCAAATTCTCCAGTGGGAAATTGACAGTATTAGTAATATGCATTTGCCATGAAAGTATTTTGATTCATGCCTTTATATAGTAAATAACCATTTTCTGTGCAACATCTTTTTCTTGTTAGGTTGTGTGTACACTAAAGGAGTTCAATGAATACCGGCAGTATCTGACAACCCTCAAGATAGAGTTTGAAAAAAGTTATATGAGAGAACAAGTAAGTTAAAGTCGTTAAAATTCTGTTTTGTTTCAAAACCAAACACAAAATAGCAGTCCACTAAAAAAATTGCAATTACCACAGAGCCTCCCAAAGGAGTTGACTAAATGGTTAATCCTGAATTATGAAGCCACTGCATAGCAGAGTATATGGCTTACAAAGCTGATATCTGAGCACGGTTCATAACTCCACTCTTTTTTATGGCAACCATCTGGGCTGAAAGATAATGGTGTAA